TTGTTAGGCGTCATCGGCTAGTGATACCCAACCTCAGTATGGCAGCGGAAATTGCTGCCACACCGAGATTTGAACTCGCATTCTCTCCCGTCAGGGCGAACGTCATGACATTTGAGATTTGAACTCGCACTCTCCCGTCAGGGCGAACGTCCTAACGTTTGAGCAACGAGCTCACGGTCTACCGCCGTATGGCCGCTGAAATCCCTGCCACACTGCCACAACGAGATTTGAACTCGCGATCTCTCCCGTCAGGGCGAACGTCCTAACTGAGATTTGAACTCGCACTCTCCCGTCAGGGCGAACGTCCTAACGTTTGAGCAACGAGCTCACGGTCTACCGCCTAATTGCTGCCACACCGAGATTTGAACTCGCAATCTCTCCCGTCTGGGCGAACTTAACGTTTGAGCTACGAGCTCACGGTCTAGCTGGTATTAGATCGGGAATATAGTGACATAGAGGCGTATTTTTTTCTTTCCTATACCCCACAAGAGCGATAGTTTTTCTCCTAAAAAATCCCTAGGAGTTTTTTCACAGTCTGCTCATTTTTTAAAAAAAAAACTATGCACCACCTCAAGACTCGGGACAATTGGCCTCGCCAACAAACTGAGATACAATTTTTCTGCTACCACGACACGCATGCACAAATGGGGAAATCACAGGCAATCTACCTACATATCCTCCAATAAACTGATACTGATACCAGATTCTACGGTGGGTCAGCGTATTGGAAGATAAGCGTCATCCACATTTAGTTCACACAAAGACTGACATGTACACGAGATGGACACCTTCTGATGGCACCCAGTGGGACTGCCCACATTGTCGGCCTCTACTTACCGAAGGCGGGTTTCTGATTCACACAACTGTTATCGTAAGTTAAATCACCAACACCTACACGACAATACATACAGGCTAGCCTGACCGCAGTCATTTTGTATTTTAAACAGAGAAGGTGGAGATATTTAGCTTCTTGGTAGCATACTGTAAAATGCTTATGTTGTGAAAAGTCCTTGGCGCGAACGCATACAATATGGGGAAGATAAACGTCCTTAAAAGGGGCATGTTGGAGTTCATTCCCTATAGGAAATACTTAGAAAGCTAGGGCATCAGGAGGAATAGTAGCCGCCTCAAAGATTAGGATTGCACCAATTGGTCGGAGAGGAAACTAGGTGACCAGAGCCGTAGCATATCCCTAAAGATCTTCGTGAGCATTCGCAACCTAGGTCATGGAGACTGAAGTCTATCCTACCGCCATTGATTCATCAATAGGCAGACTTGACAAGTTCAGCGATGATGCCCATGTAAGCATTCAAAAATTCACCTACGTTTTAGATTATTCATCATCAAGTAATAGCAATAATAAAATAGAGGGTTGAGGAACAAAAGCTTAAGCATCCAATCAACAGCGTTACAGCGACGACGCAGCAACTTGAAACAATCGTCGAATAGTCTCTCCCTCTCTCTGACTCCTTGGTATGACTAGAACCTGACCTCTTGATCTCTGAACCCCCTTTCCCCGGTACTTAATGTTGATTGGATGCTGAAATGTTTGTCCCTCTACCCTTCCTTATATAATTGTAAGGGCCGAACGACTAATGATCGAAAACGTACATTCGCCAAATGTGTCCTCTTGAAGACACAAAAAGGTCGGTAGGGGTCCCACGCTGCGCTCATTTTCCTTCCCTCTGCAAATTTTGTTGTCCAACAGAGAGGGAAGACGATAATACAAAATAAATCATTTCGCTGCGCGAAAACTACCAGGGAGAGAGCTCAAGCAAACCCTCAACGATGGGGAGAATTTCGACGAGGAAAACCACTACCTGCACTGTAATTTGACAAAGGTACTTCCTTCTCAATCCTTATCTTGCAAATCACAAGGTACCTTCTATTTATAGCAATCAAAAGTGCTTTTGCTGAACCACACTTGTTATTTAAAAAAATTATCACTCGTTTGGGCAAGGTGATTCGTTCGCTGTTGTGTCTAGCCAACTGCTGTGCGACTGTAGTCGGAGCGACTGGTCGGTATCTTGTTTTTTTTCTTTCACGCGTTTACAGTTTCCCAAATACATGGCGTGTGTGATGTTTGATCTTTGAACACGATTTTGTTATTGTCTACTGCCACGGACTGGCGCCCTCACACACAGTTCGATTCTACCTCTCTTCATGACTGTGTGAACGACCCTAGGACCTCGAAAAATGCCGCGGTACGATACGATACCTCCTTCCCAATA